CCCTTAATGTAGAATCCTGTAATATAGCACTGAAGTAAGATATACTGGTATGATACAAGTGTATATTTGTTCAAGTTGTGTGTTGACTTAAGATGGCCCCATGGATTACCTAGGATTTCCTAAAGCAAGGAATACCCAGAGGTAGTTTTGTCAATCTCTTCCTCTGAAACATAGTGAACAACGCCTTTCACTTATTGGCAATCTCCCCTCCAAATACTAGCCAGGCGTGGCCCTGCTTAGTTTCCAAGATCAGACAGGATCTACTGCTTTAGAGTACGGTATGAAAGGATGCATTTCAATAAGCTATGATTTTAATTATTAATTAATTTATAGTCGGACAGATAACTCCCTATATTTAAATTCCAGCTTTGCTTCATAGTCACATTATAATCAAAGCACCCTGAACTTTGGTTCCTGAAAGGTCTTGTCCTTTTAGCAATCCCTAGAAAAGTAATGAAGCTGCAATTTCCACAAATTTCCGCTGGCACTGCTTTTTCTACTGCATCATTTCCAAATATAGGTATATCCAGCTGCTTGGAAATAATCTTACTTTAATCCTATGTTTCTTATATGCTTTTTTAGAGGTTCGTGAGACATGTGCCAAGGATACCTCATTTCCCTAGAGCCGTGGCTTTGATGAAAAGCGCAAACACAGTGAATCAGTCAAAGAATCCTAGATTCATAGAACTGGAAGGGACCGCATGGGCCATCTGGTCCAGTTACCTGCTTTGCATGAAAAGTACAATCAAAGCACTCCTGATAGATAGCCATCCAGCCTCTGTTGAAAAGCCTCTAAGGAAGGGGCCTCCACCACACTCTGAGGCAGAGAGTTCAATTGATGAATTTCTTCCTAATGTTCAGGTGGAATATTTTTCCCAGCAATTTGAATTCCATTGTGTAAGATTTAAACATAAGTACAATGTCCCCTGTTAACCTTTTTTGCCTTCCAGCTTTTCTCCAGCCCCTCAGCCACTCCTCGTTAGAATCGATTTCCAAACCTTTGATCATTTTGATTGACACTTTCCAGATTGACAATCTCCTTCTTGAATTGTGGTAGGTACAATATTCCAGGTGAGGACTCTTTATCTCAACTCTACATTCCTACTGATGCAGTCCAGAATTGCATTGCCTTTTTAGCTTCCCATATAAACCATCAAGGACTTTAAGAGTTTTTGGAAAGGCCCTGCTCTCGGTCCCACCAACTTTGCAGTCACGCTTGGTGGGGATGAGAGACAGGGTCTTCTCTGTGGTGGCTCCCCGGCTATGGAACTCTCTCCACAGTGAGGTCAGGTCTGCCCCCTCCCTCCTGACCTTCAGGGAAAAAAATGAAATCCTGGCTTTGGAATCAGTCATCCGCAAATTGATGGATTGCACCGGTAAAGACTAAGAGTTATTGGACCACAATTTTGGATTGAGTTGGATGATGTTTTTAACTTGGTGAATTGTCTTTTATATGTATCTTATAACTTATTTATTATGTATGTTGTTTTTAAAATGTTATTTATTGTGTAGCATTGAATTTTTCCTGTTGTTCGCTGTACTGAGTCCCTCCGCAGAGGTAGAGAAGAAAGGGATAAAACAGTTCTAAATAAATAAATAGCTCTTGCATCACATTGCTGACATGTTCAGCTTGTGGTCTCCTAAGTAGATCCCTTTCACATGGATTGGGATAGGCTGGAGATGACAATGCCTTGATCCTTTCATTGCTGGTTGCTACTTCTCGGCGGATGCCAGGTGGTGCGATACCAGCTAAACAGGAGTTCTCAGTTGATTTGCCATCACATTGTAGAGCAGTGGTTCTCAACCTTCCTAATGCCGTGACCCCTTAATGCAGTTCCTCATGTTGTGGTGACCCCCCAACCAAATTTGGCACACTTACCAGATACACCTAAATTTGAATATTGGTGGGGTTGGGGGGGGGGTTGGTTTTATCTTACTCAGTTTAGCTTAGGTAAAGGTTTTCCCCTGACATTAAGTCCAGTCATGTCTGACTCTGGGGTGTGGTGCTCATCTCCATTTCTAAGCCAAAGAGCCAGCGTTGTCCATAGACACCTCCAAGGTCATGTGGCCAGCATAACTGCAGGGAGCATCATTACCTTCCCACCAGAGCAGTACCTATTGATCTACTCACATTTGCATGTTTTTGAACTGCTAAGTTGACAGAAGCTGGGGCTGACAACGGAAGCTCATGCTGCTTCCTGGATTTGAACCTGCACCCTTTCGGTCAACAAGCTCAGCAACTCAATCAAAGAGCATTCTGAACTCCACCAACGATGCAGTGGCGCGATCTAGGAGAGAGAGGCTTCGTGCAAGGCTAGGCCCTGCACGAAGCCTCCCTCGCCTAACCCGCGTTCCTGCCAGCCGGCGGGATCACGATCTAGGCGAGGGAAGTTTCATGCAAGGCAGCCATTTTGAGGGGGCTGGGCCAACTGAGGCCCCTTTGCGACCCCCAGAAAATGGCCCAGCGACCCCCCTGGGGGTCGCGACCCCCAGGTTGAGAACCGCTGTTGTAGAGAGTTGTTCCCACCTACTGTCCCTCCCCCATTTTCTTTGTAGAAAGAAACACCTCCTCTCCTCGACTATGATTTTTGTTCCCAGGTTATCAATGTCATTTCCTAATTAGTTCTGTCATAAAGACATGGGAAAAGTTTATTAAAAAGGTTGTCTTTGCAGGAGGGACATCTCGCTTACTTACTTTACTTACTACTTACTCCCAAAGTTACTTTGGCTCCCAAAGTGACCCATTTAAGGTGTAATCAGGTGTCAAACAGGGATGTGTTATTGCCCCAACCTTATTCTCCATCTTCATCGCTATGATACTTCACCTTGTTGATGGGAAGCTTCCCACCGGAGTGGAAATCATCTATCGGACAGATGGCAAGCTATTCAACCTCAGCAGACTGAAAGCCAAAACCAAGGTTACAACAACAGCTGTTACAGAACTCCAGTATGCTGATGACAACCTCATCTGTGCGCATTCAGAAGAAGACCCACAGCCACTCTAAACACCTTCGCAGAAGCATACGAGAAGCCCCCTGTCATTGAACATCGAGAAAACCAAAGTGCAGTTCCAGCAGTCATCAGCCAGTCCTTCTGCAATGCCAGAAATACAGCTTAATGGTGTAACATTAGAAAATGTTGACCATTTCCACTACCTTGGCAGCCACCTCTCCACAAAAGTCAACATTGACACTGAAATGCAACACCACTGGGACCACCTTGACTGGTTTGTGCCAGTCATTATTATTATTATTATTATTATTATTAATAATAATAATAATAATAATAATAATAATAATAATGTCCTCTGGCTTGTGCCAGATTTGTGTTCTTCTTCTTCTTCTTCTTCTTCTTCTTCTTCTTCTTCTTCTTATTATTATTATTATTATTATTATTATTATTATTCTTAAATTTAAGGCTGGTTGGCCATATGTCAGGAAAACAAAGGGACCCTTTGCCTTCCAACAACTGTATAAAATTTATTTATTTATTTATTTATTTATTTATTTATTTATTTATGAAATTTATATGCTGCCCTTCTCACCCCAAAGGGGACTCAGAGCGGCTTACAATATATATTTTCATACAATATAATATTTATTTAGAGGTTTTCTATACCGGCCTTCTCAACCTCGACGAGGGACTCAGGTCGGTTTACAGTGCATATCAAATACAATCATATGAAAAAACAGCAAATACAAATCATTACATATTAAAATAGTACAACTCAGTACAATAAAAACATCATCATTACATCATTACAGTTTCCTACGCCAAATCGTCAATCCAGTCATGGTCATAATCATATTCATAGTCACAGTTCATCATAATTCATCACAGGGAAGGTTCTAGGTTCAGTCCTCGAATGCCGCATTCCAGAGCCATGTTTTTAGCAATTTCCTGAACGTCAGGAGGGAGGGGGCAGATCTAACCTCTAGTGGGAGGGAGTTCCAAAGCCGGGGAGCCACCACCGAGAAGGCCCTGTCTCTCGTCCCCACCAACGAGAGGGTGAGGGTGGTGGGACCGAGAGCAGCCCCCCCCCCCGAAGATCTTAATAGCCTTGATGGTTCATAGGGGAGAATCCATTCGGACAGGTAAACTGGCCAGAGCCGTTTAGGGCTTTATAGGTCAAAACCAGCACTTTGAATTGTGCCCGGAAGCTGATCGGCAGCCAGTGGAGCTGGCGTAACAGAGGGGTCGTATGGTCTCTGTACCCTGCTCCTGTTAGCAATCTGGCTGCCGCACGTTGGACTGATTGAAGCTTCCGGGCAGTCTTCAGAGGCAACCCCACGTAGAGAGCGTTGCAGTAGTCTAAACGGGATGTCACGAGAGTGTGAACCCCCATGACCAAGTCAGACTTCCCAAGGTACAGGCACAGCTGGCGCACAAGTTTTAATTGTGCAAAAGCTCCCCTGACCACCGCCGAGACCTGGGGTTATTAGCATAGTACAATATCAGTATTGCACTATACCATTATATTGTAATATTATTAGTAATATGACATGTAATGTAAATATATAATTATAATTATAATATTGTATTATTATTACTGGTATTATATTGTATTACATTATAATATCATAAATATTATATGTATACACAATATACTATATTATATTATTATGTTTATGTTTATTATTTACATCCCGCGCCCCACCGAACTGCAACTCTCGTGCTCCCATAGCCTTGAGCCATGGCTGCTAAAGTGGTGCCAAACTGCGTTCCATCTTCACTGTGTGGATGCTCAGGTTCCATTCGCGAAGCCTCCGCCCCCTCCCTGTCATCAGCGCAGCCGAGGAAGCGTTTCCCTAAAGAGGGCGTCCCCTTGGACGTCAAAGGCTTAGGAGCGTAACCAATGAGCGAGGGGGATCGCCCTGACCGACGCCTCTCCTCTCCAATGACCTCTCCGGATCTCGAGGGCGGGCGCCTGGACGTTGGAAAACCGGTTCAGAATTGGCTGCTTGGAGCACGTAACCCCGCCCAGTAGGAGGTCGCAGTACTCTCCGGGCGGAAGTGTCTGAGAAATGCTCCAGCCGTCTTCCATCCATTTGGTGCCTCTGCTAATCGCCGATACTGGAAGCCACTAAGGAAGGTACGTGGTCCGAAGGCTCTTTCCCCCGCCTCTTTGGTGGCGATGATCTTCTCTTCTTCTTTCTAGGCTTCATGGTTGAAGACAGCAGCCATTCATTCAAAGCCCCGCTCTCCTTCCCTGGGTGCATCCTCACTGTAGAATTAATCCAGTTTGACACCACTTGAGCTGCCAGGACTCAATGCTGTGAAATAGTGGCATTGATAGTTTTGCAGGGTCTTTAGCCACTCCCAGGATGCCATGGCAAACTGAAGTGGTGCCAAACCGCGTTCATTCTCCAGTGTAGATGCACCTCTTCCCTTTCTGACCTGTCTCATTTCTTTAAGGAAGCACATCAGAATCAGTGATCATACATAATTAAAATAAAGTCCAAAACACCTGGAGGGCCAAAGTTTGTCCAGGCTTGATCTACGCTGCCATATAATCCAGTTTAAATCAGATAATCTGGATTATATGGCAGTGAAGAAGGACCAAAGTGTCAGCTCAGTTGCCAAAGGGGTCTCCATAGGATTTCGTCTTCTGAGTTGGGTGGCCAACTCAGGCTTTCTGGATACTGTCTGGTGATAATAATAATAATAGTAATGATAATGATAAACAAAGTATGGATTTTCGATGTTACAATCCCCGGTGGCGCAGTGGGTTAAACCCCTGTGTCGGCAGGACTGAAGACCGATAGGTTGCAGGTTCAAATCCCAGGAGAGGCGGATGAGCTCCCTCTATCAGCTCCAGCTCCTCATGCGAGAGAGAGAGCTTCTCATGAGAGAAGCCTCCCACAAGGATGATAAGAACATCAAATCATCCAGGCGTCCCCTGGGCAACATCCTTGCAGACGACCAATTCTCTCACACCAGAAGCGACTTGCAGTTTCGCAAGTCGCTCCTGACATGACAAAAAATAAATAAATCCCAGGTGACAGCAGGATTGAAGAGAAACAACTGGAAAAGCCAACACGATATGAGGATTTGAAGATTGAACTGCAAAGACTCTGGCACAAGCCAGTCAAGGTGGTCCCAGTGGTGATCGGCACACTGGGTGCAGTGCCTAAAGACCTTGGCCTGCACTTAAACACAATCAGTGCTGACAAAATTACCAATTCACATTATCTGCTTTGAACTGGATTATATGAGTCTACATTGCCATGTAGTCCAGTTCAAAGCAGATAATCTAGATTTCATATGGCAGTGTAGATGGGGCCTGAGAGAGTGGGACTTGCCCAAGGACATTCCGGAGGCCTCCATGTTGGATCAGGGATGCGAACTGTGGGTTGCAGAGTCACATCTAGCACTTAAATCAATGCACCACAAGGGCTCTCATATTTATGACAAAGTGCAGGCCTTTCCCACCAACATGGAATATCTCCCATGGTTTTTCTTCCAAAGTTCTAGCATTGTAGAGAGTGAAACATTGATATTTGAAAATATCTAGACCAGCTTAACATTAGCTGAGTTCTTTGGAAAGGTTGCTTGCTTCTTTTCATTAGATGCATAAACTGTACTGCTAAATGTTCAATTAGAATAATATAATAACAGAGTTGGAAGAGACCACATGGGCCATCTAATCCAACCGCTGGCATGCAGGAAAACCACAATCAAATCACCCCTGACAGATGGCTATCCAGCCTCTGTTTAAAAGCATTATCTCCAGACCTTTGATCTTTTATCCGCCCTCCTCTGGACACGGTCCAGCTTGTCAATATCTCTTTTGAATTGTGGTGCCCAGACTTGGGCATGGTTTTCCAGGTAATGTCTGACCAAAGCAATTGAAGTTTTAAATTATTGTGATGCTAGAAATTAGGAGACATGAAGAATTTCATCGGGGGAGGGGCCAGATTTGTTTTTGCGGAGGATGAACCCATCTTTCCTACATCCACCTGCAAATCTACATTACTAATTCAGTTGTAGGAAAGGAGATGCCAACTGATCATTAGGAGGAATGTCATGGCAGTACGAAATGCTCATTAGTGTCATCTGCAATTTCATGTTGATAGGATCACCATTCTTAAGCAAATATTGGATGGCTGCCTTCCAAGCCTGTTATATGTGTAGAGTCCTGCTCTGGCAGTTATTGAACTAGAACACCCATGGAGCCTTTCTTTCTATACAGTGTTGTAAGACACAAGTGTTGTGCCCCACAACCCATTAACATTGAGTAAATTAAAGAGGCGTCTTGTGAAAGGAGCTGCAATCTATAAAATCTTGGGCAGCAACAGTGTATTAGTCTTTGAGCTGCTATAGGTTTCTTTAATGACATTGCCGCAGTAGTTGCAGTGTTATTCCTGCAACATAAAGGAGTAGCTGGTATCATGTCAACCTGTGGTTGCCAACCTTTGTTCACCATGGACTCCCTTTTGTGGCAGGAGACACCCAAGACTTAACTCAAGATTTAAGGCACTTTAATGGCAGCACTGCAGGCAACGAGGGCGGGGGGGGGGGGTGTACACATTAATTTTAGAAAGTTAGTTTAGTCAAAAAGGGTGTGCATTGGACCATGTCAGAAATACAGCTTAATGGTGTAACACTAGAAAATGTTGAACATTTCCGCTACCTTGGCAGCCACCTCTCCACAAAAGTCAACACTGATACTGAAATACAACACCACCTGAGCTCTGTGAGTGCAGCATTTTCCCGAATAAAGCAGAGAGTGTTTGAGGACCAGGACATCCTTAGGGATAACCAAGGTGCTTGTCTATAAAGCTATTGTCCTCCCAACACTGCTATATGCCTGCAAAACGTGGACTGTCTACAGACGTCACATGCAACTCCTGGAATGGAAAATCCTGCATATCTGTGCAGGCGGGGGGCGGGGGGGGGGGGGGGGGGGGGGGGGGGGGGGGGGGGTGTACACACTAATTTTAGAAAGTTAATTTAGTCAAAAGGGGTTTGCATTGGACAGTACATTTCCCACCCAGCTGCTGTTATAGCCAATTTCCACCTCCAATTGTTTTCAATTGAAGCAATAGGTTATTTTTTTCCCCAAGAGAAGCATAGACCATCAAGCCTTAGTTTGTTCCATTTCCCTTTCTGGCTTCCTTTCATTCATTTGTTCATTTGTTCATTCAGATTTAGCTGCAAAAACTCACAACATTTCTTCAATCCTTTGCACACACCCTAAGATGACATTGCGGACCCCCAATGGTCCCCAGACCCCACTGATGTAAACTATCTCCTCCCACCCAGGACACAAAGCAAACACACTTACTGTTAAATGTACCCTTGTGGTAAAGGGATCTGAGCAGTATGTGTGCAGAACTGCATCCTTTTTCATATTATGGTTGGACCTCCACATTTGTGGGTTCAACTTTTGCCCGTTTGATTATGATGATTATTACTGTATTGGTGTCCAACCTTTTCTCTCCTAAAGGAAATTAAATGAGTCTAGACTGCCTGTATTTAGCCTATCAAGCCCTAAACAGTTCTGTCCTGACTTGCGTGTCGGGACGTATCTCCCCTATGATCTTCTGGGGACGCCCTGCTCTCATTCCCCCCTCCTTTGCAGGCATGGTTGGTGGGGACAAGAGACTGGACCTTCTCAGTGGTTGTCCCTTTGCTGTGGAACTCCCTCCCTGGTGAAATCAGTTCAGCTCTCTCCCTCCTGATCTTCAGAAAGAAATTAAACACGTGGCTGTGGGACCAAACCTTTGGACAGTAATACAGTGCAATAAGTGAAATTGGAACATGTGCAATGATGACTGGAACGGCTCCTTGGATTATGATTTCGGATGTGTGGTTTTTAATAATTGGTTTTAATGTTTATATGTTTTTTAATTTTTCTGTTTTAAATGCATATGTTTGCTTTATTATATGTTTGTTTTTGTGTGGCATTGCATTATTGCCTATTGTAGGGCCGTTCTAAGTCCCCTCCAGGGTAAGAATGATGGGGTATAAATACAGTAAATAAATAATAAATAAATAAATAAATACAGTAAGTAAATAAATAAAATATAATCCAGTTCAAAGCGGATAATCTGGATTTTATATGGCAGTGTAAAAGGGGCCACAGTGAAGGAGAAATACTTGTTGAAAGTAGGTAACCTTGTATCTTGATGTTTTCTTTTCAACACATCCATTTCTGCAGTCATTTATACTCTTCAGTTGCAGGTATCATTGCTTTGCCATAACCTCTGGTTTTGCTAATCCTCTAATAAAAGCATTGGTGAAACTGACTTGGGACATATAGTGACATAACTGGAGCTTAAACTCTGTGAAAGTATTCAAAAAGTTCCATGCAAAGTGGGATGTGGGTTCTCTTATCCACTTATTCATCTGTTTTGTAGAGAGAAAGAAGCTAAGGATTTTCTCCCTTTGAGTTACACATATTATTTTTAATGTCTTGCTTTCAATTTAACAGTTTCTTATTCTTTTCAGCAACAAGCATGAAGGAAGACTCCAATGAGCACATTCCAGTACATGAAGAGTTCACTTATGTTTGTGGAGCAGCTACTCAGGTCTTAAAGTGTGGCCCTTGGAAAGATCTCTTCCAAAATGAAAGTAGCCCAAAACTCTTATTTCTGGTTCTTCCTGGTAAGTTTTGCTTCTTTTGTTTGTTTCAGGTATGTTTTCTCTTAATAGGTTCCAATTCTGAGAAATAGGAGTCTAATTACAAGATATAACTGAACAGAAAATACAGATTCATCCACACTGGACAATTAGAGCAGTCTTATTCTACTTAAACTACCACGGAATCCTGGGATTTATAATCCAACAAAGGATTAACAAATTTCTGTTGTACTTCCTCAAATAACAGAATTATACCTCTGTAATAGAGAACCCCACGAATCTCAAAAAACTAGATCCTGGGATTTTATAGAGCTTAACTATGACATGTTGGCCTCTTCTATACTGCCATATAAATCTGCTTTGAACTGGATTATATAAGTCTATACTTATATAATCCAGCTCAAAGCAGATACCCTGGATTTTATATGACAGTGTATACACGGCCTTAAAAGAAGTATGAAACAGATAAAATTATGCAGTGGGGATATATCCAGAAAGAAAGAAAACTTGAGTACACAAAAAGTTGGGTAAAATTCAATCCCACATCATTTTTTGTAGCTCTTCCAGTGCTTGCAATTTTTTTTTTATTTTGAAAAACTATTTGCATTTTGCTTTCAGGCCAGATTAAGAAAGACCTTTGGAGATCCTAAGGGCTTTGATGATTTTGTTGTCCTCCTATATATCTCACTCAGAGATATATAGGGGTGAGAAAAGCGGTATATAAATACTGTACATAAATAATAATAAATTGTAATATAATAATAATATAATAATCACACTATTTATATTCTGCCCTTCTCTCCAAGAAGACTTGGAACGGATTACAGGATATAAACGGACACAGGCAAACATTCAGTCCTTGTTACAATGACATACAATGAGACACAAAGGCAAAGGCTCCTCCTTTCATTTCCGGCTCTGCAGGCGGTGTTCATCTCTGGCTCTGGGAAAGGTGCTCATTTCTATTTCCATGCCGGGGAGCCTGAGTTGTCGTGTGGCCGGCATGACTGCATGGAGCGTCTTTTTGCCTTTTCCCACAGAGGTGGCACCTATTGGTCTACTCACATTTGCATGTTTTTGAACTGCTAGGTTGGCAGGCACTAGAGCTAACAGTAGGAGCTCATTCCGTCCTGCAGATTCGACCTTTAGGTCAGCAGTTCAGCAGCACAAGGGTTTAACCCATTTTAAATTGTAAAATGAAAATTTATTTTTCAAAATGAAACAAAATGTACAGTAAGGTGGAAAATAATATTTAGTGTTGTACACTAAATACCAGTCTGGTGATCTGGAAAATACAGTAATGAGAAAGTGTTGGTTTCTAATATATGTAATGTCTTGATGCTTGTGGGTTAAAAGTATTTCTTGTTGTTTCTTTGTCAGTGTTGATGTGGAGATTGTCTGGTTTGTTTCCTGTGGAACATGCAACATATAATCGTCCTTCTTTAGGATTTCCTTTCAAATCTATGATACTATATCTGGGTTTGTGTGAATCATATCTATCTATCTATATCTATGGCTGGATGGCTCTTTGTCAGGAGGGCTTTGATTATGTTTTCTTGCCCTGGTGAATGGAGTTGGACTCAATGGCCTTAAGTATTTTCTGTTGGTCATGGGGGTTCTGCGTGGGAAGTTTGCCCCAATTCTGTCATTAGTGGGGTTCAACATGCTCTTTGATCGAAGGTGAGCTATAAATCCCAGTAACTACAACTCCCATATGTCAAGGTCTATTTCCCCTCCATCTGTGTTTATATTTGGGCATATGGAATATCCGTGCCAAGTTTGGTCCAGATCCATCATTGAGTACATAGTGCTCTCTTGATGTAGATGAACTACAACTCCAAAACTCAAGGTCAATGCCCACCAAACCCTTCTAGTGTTTTCTGTTGGTAATGGGAGTCCTGTGTGCCACGTTTGGTTCAATTCCATCATTGGTGGAGTTCAGAATGCTCTTTGATTGTAGGTTAACTATAAATCCCAGCAACTACAACTCTCAAATGACTAAATATTTTTTTTGAGTGATGGTCACTCCTTGTGTTAGTAGGTGTCTTGTGGCCAAATTTGGCAGCAATTAGTCCAGTGGTTTTTTGAGTTATGTTAATCCCACAAACGAACATTACATTTTTATTTATATAGATTGAACTGTGGTTAGAGGCAAAACCTTCATCCTTCTCAGGGCCCTTACACACATATTCCAGAATATTAAGGCAGAAAATCCCACAATATCTCCTTTGAGCTGAGTTATCGGAGTCCTCACTGCCATATATTCCAGTTCAAATCAGATAATGAGGGATTTTATTCAGCTGTGTGGAAGGGGCCTCATGGGATGTGCCGCAGGGGGACAGTGTGATAAAATTATTTGCATCACAGTGAACCAGGGATGAGGGTCATGTGGTGCTCCTGTTGGACTGCCAGTCCCAGCAGACATAACCTCCATAGCCAGCAGTGAGGAATGCTTGGAACTACAATTCAATATCTTCTGGAGGGGCATATGATTCTCATCCCTGTTTTAAGCCTTAATATATTGTGACAATTTACCATGACTGATGGCTCATTTTCTCATTATGGAGAGTGTGATCCCCATAGTCAAAGAGATGTATCATTTTTGAAGGTCCATCAGGAAATATTGTTTGCACCCTTTGGCAAGGAGAAGATCTTAGATGGTACCGGGTGAGTCTGTTCTTCGTGGGTTTTGCTATAAGAGCCAGTGTTATTACAAACTAATCAGAGTGTAATAGGGAGCAGATGGGAATTGTGCTTTCTGACTGTGGCAGTTGTGCCAGAAGATGGTGCTGTTTCAAAGATAAGCAGTTTTATATTTTCTTCTTTGTTTTTGATGAGCCCCTTCCTACAATCTTGTGGGTATTAAAAAGTAACTGCAGTGCATACACTAAATGAACTTCGCTTCATTTCCTTTGCACAGTTCACTACTGATTATGCCTAAGAGCACACAGTACTTTGGAACATTGCTCTGAACCTTACCACACTCTTCCAATAATACTTGTGCATATTCTTGCATCACCTTATAATATTTGAGAAGTATAATTTAAGATAGGACTTGAGATTGCCTCGGTGCCCTACATGGGTTATCATGAAGATGGAGCAATGTTCTCTCCAGCACAGACTCAGATTGCTCAACTGCATTACAATGACAATGAAATTTCCCCTGCACTTTTAGATTGAACTAGCTGTTCCCTGTCCCGCGTTGCTGTGGCCCAGTCTGGTGATCTGGAAAATAAAGTAATGAGAAAATGTCAGTTTCCAATATATGTAATTTCTTTATTCTTGTGGGTGAGCAGTATTTCTTGTTTCTTTGTCGATGTTGTTGTAGATTGTCTGGTTTGCCTACTCTGGAACATGCAACATATAATTGTCCTTCTTTAGGCATCCCTTTCAAATCTATGATACTATATCTGTCATATACATATGTATATGTGTGTGTGTATGAATCATATATATCTATCTATATTTATGACTGGGTGGCTCTTTGTCAGGAAGGCTTTGATTATATTTTCTTACCCTAGCCTTAAGGCAGCATTTTCCAAACTGGGGGTTGGGACCCCTGGGAGGGGGGGTGCAAGCGGGTGTCAGAAAGGTCACCACAAACTACCTGAAAACACAGTATTTTCTGTTGGTCATGGAGGTTCTGTGTGAGAAGTTTGGCCCAATTCTGTCGTTGGGGTTCAGAATACTCTTTTATTGTAGGTGAACTATAAATCCCAGTAACTACAACTCCCAAATGTCAAGACCTATTTCCCTCAAACTCCATCTATGTTCATATTTGGGCATATGGAGTATTGTTTAAGTCCACAGTGCTCTCTAGATGTAGGAGAACTACAACTCCAAAACTCAAGGTCAATGTCCACCAAACCCTTCTAGTGTTTTTTGTTGGTCACGGGAGTCCTGTGTGCCAGGTTTGGTTCAATTACATTGTTGGTGGAGTTCAGAATGTTCTTTGATTGTGTGTGAACTATAAATTCCAACAACTACAACTCCCAAATGACAAAATAAAATTTTGAGTGATGGTCACTCCTTGGGTTAGTAGGTGTCTTGTGAGTGGCAATTAATTTGGTGGCAATTAGTCCACAGTTTTTTGAGTTATAATGTCACTCAAAATGAACAGATAGATAGATAGATAGATAGATAGATAGATAGATAGATAGATAGATAGATAGGGAAGATCAATTTGTTGGTTGGTTAAGCTGAAGTCCGGCAAGCCTTACACGATATGGAGAAGGGGAATTAGGAGTAAGTCTGTTTTAAGGGCTCCTTCATCCCCTTCTTTCCATGTTTGATCTGTTTTGGCCCAGCTTCTGCCTTCTTTTCACAGTGTAAGTATACTGGTAACTTCAGGCCAAGTCGGATCCCCGCCCCCGTTTCAGGGGTTTATCCGCCTAGCCTGCACTCTCATGGAGGACTTCATCATTGGTTAAGGGTGGTGCCATCAATAGGTCCTCATTTGCAAATACTGGGGACAGATATGAATTTGTTGATCACCTTCTGGCACACATTTGGTGAAAGATAGGAATCTGGAACTGCCCCTGAGTATCAAATGAACAGGGAGTGGATAAAGTTTCTGTCCTTGGAGCTGTTCAGTGGGGCCCCTTCTACACTGGCATATGAAATCCAGATTATATGTTTTGAACTGGATTATATGGCAGTGTAGACTCATATAATCTAGTTCAAATCAGATAATATGGATGTGCAGGAACACAGTTGTAGTCTGTACATGCTCACTTTAAATCCGTAGGGGCTGGCTTCCTCATATTAGCATAAGAGAGCTGGAAGTCATTGCTTTGTTGGTTGATTTGTTGCCAAAGGCAGATTAACTTTTCTCAAGTAAGGAAATTCCAATTTTTGTTCAAATCAAAATGCTCAGCTTCTTGAGAAGAGAAGACTGTTGTAACCTTCCCCATTAAAAATTACAGCTTCCTGTGTGGTCTCCAGTATTTTCTAAGAAATAAACTTTTAACTGTATTAAAATACTCTGAACTCTGGTTTTGTTTTGAAATTGGTTAGTCTTGTAAATGATTACAGCAGTGTTTAATCCCAAAGTTATGGTCCCTCTTTTTGGGTAGGGAGGGTATCATACTCTGACTTCTATATCTAGCCGTGCATCTACACTGTAGATTGAATGTAGTTTGATACCACTTTATCTGTCATGGCTCAATGCGATGGAATTCTGTGAGTTGTAGTTTTACAGAATCTTTAACCTTGTCTGCAAACAGTGTTGGAGCCTTGCCAAACCCCTATGATTCCATAGTATTTAGCCATGGCAGTTAAAGTGGTGTCAAACTGCATTAATTCTATAGTGTAGAGGCACCCTAAGCTAGCCAGAGGGACCCTCTCCTATATCAGGAGAAAGGGGATATAAAACTCAAGTAAACTTTTTTTTTTTTGGTGTCAGGTGCAACTTGAGAAACTGCAAGTCACTTCTAGTGTGAAACAATTGGTCGTTTGCAAGGACGTTGCCTAGGGGACTCCCGGATGTTTTACCATCCTATGGGAGGCATCTCTTATGTCCCCACATAGGACATGAGAGATGTCCCTGCATTCGGATAGCAGGCTGACAATAAAAATGACGTCAATGCTATGGAAAATGGATTATGGACAGGCTTTGGATTCAGTTGTTAATCGTAGAACTCGGACTTGACGTGCCAACTAATTCAATTTGCACTATTTTAAATGGTTTTAAATCTAATTTTAATGTTTCACTTATTATGTAACCGTTGTTTTATCTGTTGTATATGGGGGGGGGATCAAATTGTTGCTGGCTATAAGCCACCCTGAGTCCCCCTTTAGGAGTAGAGAAGAGTGGGTTACAAATATTTGAAATAAATAAATAATGGGAAGCTGGAGCTGACTGACGGGAGCTCACCCCACTCCCTGGATTTGAACCGCCGGCACAGCAGTCCTGCCGGCACAAGAGTTTAACTCATTGTACCACTGGGGGCTCCATTTTAAGGGTGATTTACTGTTTAATTTTATAACTAGTGGGAATATATGTATAAAACTCCTAGATTGGCATCCTGTTGGTGATATGCGCATGCTGTATTATGTGTATGGGATTAAAATTAACATCCCACTTGTATAATGTGATTTATTCTTGCACATACCACTAACAGGCAAGCACATTCTGCTGACAGTGACAGAATCAGAAATGTGAATGCAATCGAGTGTTTTGCACTGTGGCTACATCCGCAAGTTGTACACTGTGTATTATGGCACCCAGCCCTTCACATGTATGTTTCACGCTGTTGCTGTTCTGCATTTGGTCTGTGGACTGTTGGACTAGCATACTTCTGTCTGCCGATATTTATACTATGCTGTTGAGTTATAGCCGAAGTCAGCAATGTTATCTTTCAACCATAGTTTATCAATTTACAACATATAGTCTTATTGGACTTTCTTCTTTTTCAGGTAACCCAGGATTGGTGTATTATTACCGGACATTCATTCAAGTTTTGTACTCTGGCCTGAAACAGCAGTATCCAGTTTGGGTTATTAGTCACGCTGGACATTGTAAAGTCCCTTATGGCATGAAAATGACAGAAGGTATTGTGAACTAATGTTTCCACTTTGCAATATTAGCACTACATAGTATTTGGCACTGATGAATGCTATTGCTTAGCTGAAGGACAGATAGATCATCCCTCCATTTTTTTCCATCATAAAATGTGAGAATTGCAGAATCCAACAAAAACTACAAAAAAAAGATACCTGTATAGATTGAATTACAAAAGCACATCGTACATCATGCACACTTTTGAAGCTTCAGCATCTGGCAAATGTATTAAAAATCATACATGAGATAAAAAAAAAACTGACAATGCTAGAGTCACAGGCCTACATTTTGTCTTAAGATGTAATTTCTGCTCTTACATGATGCATGGGCCCATTTCACTCCCAACACTGAATTGAAGGAATGCTTCGGAGCTGCAGCCCTGCACTTCAGGCCTAAGGATGGCATGGATATTTTAGTGGGGTTTATTATACTGTTTGATACCCTTGAAAAATGTTTCCGTATTTATAATTTACTAGCCGTCCCCTGCCACGCATTGCTGTGGCCCACATGGAGGTTCTGTGTGGGAGGTTTGGCCCAATTCTATTGTTGGTGGGGTTCAGAATGTTCTGTGATTGTAGGTGAACTATAAATCCCAGCAACTACAACTCCCAAATGTCAAGATTCTATTTTTCCCAAACTCCACCAGTGTTCACATTTGGGCATATTGAGTATTTGTGTAGAGTTTGGTCCAGCTCTATCATTGGTTGAGTCCACAGTGTTCTCTGGATGTAGGTGAACTACAACTCCCAAACTCAAGGTCCAAGCCCACCAAATCCTTCCAGTATTTTCTGTTGGTCATTGGAGAACCGTGTGCCAAATTATACAATTAACAAGGACAGACAACACAAGCAGAGTTAAAAGTAGTTTTTCCCATCTTATTTTTGGCATTTTGGAGGCTGTGCTCGACTCTGGCCATGGGGGGGGGGGTGCTGTCACTCCATCTTCCATGCCGAGGAGCTTTCCTCTGATCGATGTCCTTAAGGGCGCCTTTATTACATCCCTGCTAATAGTGGTACCTATTTATCTACTCACATTTCTGCTTTCGACCTGCAAGGTGGGCAGGTGAGCTGGGGCTAACGGCAGGTGCTCACCCTGACCCGGGATTGAACTGCCAACCTTTCGATCAGCAGGATTTTTCTGCAGCACAGCAGTTTAGCCTTCCAGTCTTTCAATAGATTAAAATGGAGACAGACATTACAAAGTAATATCAAAATATACTGAAGATAGCAAAAATCATTAAATAGAAAAACCGTGTAGGCTAGGAGAGCCTCCAGTAGTTTGCTTTTGCCTGAGTCTACTGGAAAGGGCAAGAATCTGTCCTTTCTTCTCCCCTCTGCTGAATTGAGGGAGCACAAACTTCTTTTGCACTTTGAACTCAGTTTTGCAACAATCAAAGTAAGATAAGGACAAAAGGGGAAAGCTGGATGGGTAGAGAGAAACTGTAATACTTGAAAAGCAACTGGAAATTGGGACATAAATCTATTCATTGGGACTGTTCCTGCCAAACTAGGGCCATTGGAGGCTCTGAACACTTTTCTTGCTGTCATTTTTTAAAAACCATCTATTATATTGGAGGTTTTAATTATCATAAAGCAAAGAGTGATGTACAAATATTTTAAATGACTACGTGGGGTGGGAAGTATGCCAGCTAGGTTCATGTTTTGCATTGAGCTCACTTATTGTGCCTTGGAAACCTACAGAAGCATGAAAAGTAAAAATGCGTGACATTTCTCAGATTGCTTCTGATACTTTATAAGAAAACTCAGTTCATTCCCAAATCTTTGTATTTGTGCATTATTTTTCAAAATTGCTAGCTCAGTTTCTTTGGGTTTTACAACAATTCCTAGCTGTAGGCTTAATCAAATTGTACTTGGCTCTGATACACAAAATAATAGTGTGCTCTTCACTGAAATGAACTAGAAAGTTTAATCCAACCCCCAAGGCAGGCTTTTGCCCATCTTAATCCTTCCCACATGTTAAATTGCATATCCACACATGCAGAGGTTATTAACACTATGCGCTATGTCACAGTTTCTGCAGCACAAAGCTCCAAATTACTAGGAAGAACCACATACATGTAGCGGAAAGTCAAAATAATCTCAAGAAATGTATTAGACATGTAGAGGTCAGCTACAGTTGATGTCTACATGCAGATTAGACCTGAATTAGGCTGGGATATGTTGAAAACAAGCATGTATCAAGTATACTGTAGATCAGTGTTTCTCAACCTGGAGGTCGGGACCCCGGGGGGGGGGGTCGCGAGAGAGTGTCAGAGAGGTCAGCAAAGACTATCAGAAAACACAGTATTTTCTGATGGTCATGGGGGTTCTGTGTGGGAAGTTTGGCTCAATTCTATTGTTGTGGGGTCCAGAATGCTCTTTGATTGTAGGTGAACTATAAATCCCAGCAACTGCAACTCCCAAATGTCAAGGTCTATTTCCCCCAAACTCCACCGGTGCTCACATTTGGGCATATTGAGTGTTTGTGCCAAGTTTGGTCCAGATCCATCATTGTTTGAGTCCACAGTGCTCTCTGTATGTAGGTGAACTACAACTCCAAAACTAAGGGTCAATGCACACCAAACCCTTCCAGTATTTTCTGTTGGTCATGGGAGTCCTGTGTGCCAAGTTTGCTTCAATTCCATTGTTAGTGGATTTTAGAAAGCTCTTCGGTTGTAGGTGAACTATAAATCCCAGCAACTACAACTCCCAACTGATAAAATCAATCTCTCCCCAAGTCCACCAGTATTCAAATTTGGGCATATCGGGTATACCAGTTTGGTCCAGTAAATGAAAATACATCCTGCATAGCAGGTATTGACATGACGATGCAAAACAATAGCAAAATGGCAATTATAAAGTAACAATGAAAATATTTTTTTGGTTGAGGGTCACCACAACATAAGGAACTATATTAAGGGGTCGCAGCATTAGGAAGGTTGAGAAATACTTCTCTAGATTTTCTCCATTGTACCAAAATGTTCCTCGATAAATAGTTATTTATTTATGTACTATTTATTTACTATATTTGTATACCACTCTTCTCAGCCCTTCTCAGGGTGACTCAGAGCGGTTAACAAAGCAAATACAATACTAAAAAATGATAAAAACAGTTTAAAACAAGTTAAAAGAATAACATTATAACAATCAATAAACATCATAACATCTCATCTCGTCTCATAGTTTCTGTATCCTGCTCACACATATTTTTGGAAACAGAACCCTATATTATATTCTTCTGTAATCTGATTTTGTGTATCAAACTAAGAAAAAGAATAGGAGATTGATTTATCAGATTGATTCCAATACTTTATGTTTCAAAAATGTTGTGTGAAACTGCTACTGTCAAAATCTTGACTGCATACATCTGCAAGAAACAAGATATTACCTCATGCAACAATATCCAGCTACATACAGTGAATAACCATTACTGAAATGGGAGCTGCCATTTTTTTTCATAGGGCAAATCTACAGTATAGAATTTATGCAGTATGACCATTTAACTGTCATGACTCAATGGTATTGGAATTATGGGATTTGTAGTTTGATGCTTCCAAATGCTAGCTCTGTATTCTACTCCCAAATACTAGCACTATATTCTTTGATTCATAGAATCATAGAATCAAAGAGTTGGAAGAGACCTCATGGGGCATCCAGTCCAACCCCCTGCCAAGAAGCAGGAATATTGCATTCAAATCACCCCTGACAGATGGCCATCCAGCCTCTGTTTAAAAGCTTCCAAAGAAGGAGCCTCCACCACACTCCGGGGCAGAGAGTTTCACTGCTGAACGGCTCTCACAGTCAGGAAGTTCTTCCTCATTATTCATGTGGAATCTCCTTTCTTGTAGTTTGAAGCCACTATTCCGCGTCCTAGTCTCCATGGAAGCAGTAAACAAGCTTGCTCCTTCCTCCCTGTGGCTTCCTCTCACATATTTATACATGGCTATCATATCTCCTCTCAGCCTTCTCTTCTTCAGGCTAAGCATACCCAACTCCTTAAGCCGCTCCTCATAGGGCTTGTTCTCCAGACCCTTGATCATTTTAGTCGCCCTCCTCTGGACACATTCCAGCTTGTCATTTTCATCACTCCATATCATTGTCTTCATTTCTGCTATAGAGACTGATTTGGAGTTATTTCTGGTCGGACAGGAAATTAGAAAACAAGCAAAGCTACACCAAAACTACTCCTCCCCTACAAGTATACATTTTCATTGCTATCTCATTCCAGAGTTTTATCATTTTATGTCGTGCATTTGGCCTGCCCACTGTGTTTTATTTTTCATTATGTTATTTTGTACTGTTTATTTTACTTGATTGGTTTATTTATTTTATTGTGATGTTATTTGGTTGTTTATATTTTATGTTGCTGTAATGTATTGCTGGGCTTGGCCTCACGTAAGCCACTCCGAGTCCCCTTTAGGGAAATGATGGCGGGGTATAAATAAAGATGATGATGATGATGGTTATTATTATTATTATTAGAAGCTTAAAATTAGCTTACAGAAGAGTTGTAGTGACTAGGCCCCTGGTGGCACAAAGGTTAAACTCTTGTCCCGGCAGGACTGCTGACTGAAAGATCAGCAGTTCAAATCTGGGGAGCAGGGTGAGCTGTCGTTTGTCAGCCCCAGCTTCCCATGCAGGGACATGAGAGAAGCCTCCCACAGGATGGTAAAACATCTGGGCGTCCCCTGGGCAACATCCTTGCAGACAGCCAATTCTCTCATACCAGAAGCGACAAGTTGCTCCTGACACGAAAAAACAAAAACCTACTACCCTTTACATGCTTTGGATTACAATATCCAAAACCCCTGATTGTTGGCTGGCTAATGGACTTAAGGTGGTGGTAATGGCCCTACAGTCTAAAACCGCTGGACAGCAACCAGGCTGCTAACCCTGCCATGGAAAAAGATCTTTCCCTGCCAATGCAATTTCCAGCTTCCCTTTTAATTTGCTCAGGCATTTTAATTTAAATCTGTCTGTCAATCTCTTTTAGTTTTGGCT